CAATAAAACTTTCTTCACTTTTCCTAATCTCTGTTTTAACATTTTTGCACAATTATAGGAGAACATATTATAAGCTATCAATGCAACTTATTAGTTGTTACAAATTCAGCTTTTCTTTTTGTATTAGAAATGCTGCCTTAGAGAATCTTGTAGAAATTCACAAAGTAAAATTTTTTAATAAAATATTTCAGTTTAGTAATAAAAGATTTTTGTCTTTTCTAATACTTTCTTTTAAGAATAAAGATGAATCTCCTTTTCTTACTACTATAGTGATATACATCTTATATATGTAGATATATATCCGAATATTTCTTTCACAAATGGACAAGGCTAGATGAAAATACTATCGCCGATCAAATATTTACCTTTATGGAAGATTTTTCTCTTCGTCTTTCTTTTACTTCTCATCTTCACTGTCCTCATCATTATTCACGCTGATAAGGCTCTCAGATGAGCTATAATCGTTGTCGTCTGGACAAGCTTCGTCATTGATATTGCTGTGTCTGTTAATGTTAAAAATATATCAAAATTAATAAATATCAACATTAATAAACAAATATAATAAATGTAATTTAATGACTTTTGATAAATCTTTAATTCATGTGCATGCCGTACATAGCCAAATATGCAATAAAAATCTTGCATAATATTAAAATATATATTTACTTTCTTGCACGAAAGGTAGCTTGAGCCAACCATGCTCCTGCTTTTCTACCAAATATTGTTTCATTTATTGTTGGAAATTCCTTAGTCACTGCTTCTGTAATAAAAAATATATTATCCTTATAATTAGAAAAAGATAAAAAGATAAAATAAAATTAAAATTTATCTACACTGTTAAAAATGTACAATAACTTTCTCCGCGGCAAAATACACTTATGATTCACTGTCTCGTGCAACGTGGCAGATATCTCAGGCGTAGTAAAAAGGCAAAATAATATAATCTTACCGATCATTAACTTGGCTATTCGGCGTTTTGATAACTTCATTTTAGTTCCACGTTGACCTTTCCAATTAAAAATGCTTGCTAGTTTATCATGCAAAACAATCCGGAGCATGGAATTTATCGTTTTTTGAAGAGATTCTCCCTTAATTTCTAAATGTAGAGCTTCGACCTACAAATTATACAAAATCATAGAGAATTATAAAATATATATTGCCATAGAGCTTGAGAAAAATTAATATCTTACCATTGTTGAATAAAAAGTTTTATCTTTTTTTAGTTTGCGTTCAACTGTCTTTAGAGCGTCCAGGTTTGTTATTGGAAATTCGTTCAAAATATGTGTAGAAGAACTTTTAGAAGGATTTACATTTTCAGTTTCAGATTTTTTCATCAATTCTGTTTTCAAAAAACTTTCCATATTTTTATCCGTCTTGCGCAAGAACAATTTACATGATGACAGTTCAGCTAAACATAATAAAATATTTTTATTTTTAATGTTAAAAATTAAATCAAAAATGCAATAAAAAAATGTTACATTAATATACATAAACGATATTTTCAACATACCACTAAGATGACAAAGTGCATCTGCAAGAGACTCCAATGTGACTATTCCTTTTGAATTGTAAGCACATACATGATTCATTTGGGAAACTTTACATCTTTTGGCGTTTAAAGAAAAATGTTGAGTTTCGTCCGAAGTAATTGTTGCCGATTTATACTGTCTTTCAGTAGAACAGGAAATATATATCGTTTCGGCGTTTTACTCCCCTACATTCCATATAATTGTTACTCAATGTTTCACGAGGAACATTTACCTCCTGTTAAAAGATCAATTCATTGTTATACAAATATGATAAAACTTTAGTTTACGTAGAATTTTACTATTATATTTACTTTTTCTAATAACGGTTGACTTGACTGTGCCGACTTGCTCACATTCGTCAATTTTGGAATTGGTAACAGTGCAGACAGCATCGTACTCCGTTTTTTCTCAAGTTTATTTTCCTTGTTGGCATCATCGTCAAAATATTTGATTGGCCTTTTTAATCGTTTCCCTTTTTCTTTTTCTTCAACATCTGAATATAATACAGCATTAGGATTTTTTGCAATTTTTACGAGCATTTTCATTCCCCGATCATAGTTTTCTGAAAAATTGTGATTTTAAGTTACAAGAGGAAGAATAATATACAGGATAGACATTTTAATGTGTCTACTTAAATATTTCTTTTTCTCATTTACCTCTTTCAAAAAAATGTTTCAGACTAAAGTTATATTATCTAAAGAGGAACAAATAATAATAAAATCAATTTAATCGAAGAAACATTAATATTTACTATTGACATTATAATACTATTTAAAAAAAGTGACAATAGCCTTTATTATATGTGACTATAAACAATTAATTTTTTTCAAAAATTGATTTTACAATTTTTCATTCTTCTTTAAATCATCTACCTAAAATATTTTTTATGAAAAGTAGGTAAAGAAAAAGCATTTAAGTAAGACATTAAAGTGGCCTATTTTGTATAAACTATTAAGACAAATTATTTGGAAAAAATTATATTATAAACTTTAACAATGTCTTCTTGTATTTTCTTTATAGAAAAGCAATTCCAGTCTAACATCGGAAGA